GTGCAGGGCGCTATATAAATGGAAGTTGTTGTTGTTGCCTTGTTCGGGTGGACTTTAAAGATCCTGCGGCGCTATTCGTAAGGAGAAGGGAGTTTATCCCGATGTTCAGGCTGAATTACCCCCCAGATGAAATCTGCCATTCACAAGGGTGTCCTACCTCCAACGGCCCCAAGAGACTTTGTGGTAAAAATTAAAGGTATCTGACTGTCTTCCCTCCGCAAGTTTCCTATCTTTGCGCCGCAAGTTTGAAACTCTTGCCTCTTGTCAGCCTTTCCTTGCTCTGTCATACTATCTACCAGGTTTGATTGGTAACCAAAACAGATTTTAATTGACTTCTCTTGTTCGCTCTGATACTTTTCACTTCCTCCCCTGGGAGCCCGGATCAGAATGGCAGGCTCCTTAAGCGATCTGTGAAGCTGGCTGTGTTTTTGAGTTGTGGAGAGAATAAGGTGCAAACCCACCCCCCTTTGAGACGCACTGGCCCATTAAGCCTTATGATTTCTGGTCTCGCTTTGTTTTTCAAGCTAACCAGCTGTATACAGAGAAACCATTGAGTATGACTTGATGAGACAGAACCGTTGGTGCTGAAATAAGCCAATCTCTTGACTTGATCCATAACTGTACTTTCAATTAACACAGCACTGCCTGATTTCCTGCTTTGCCTTAGCCTTGTTCAGCCGGTCTCATGGCTGCCTCTTAAGTCGCAAGGTTGTGGGTTCAAGCCTAACGTCAAAATTTTCAACCTATGTATTCTTATGGTGATAATCCAGTACAGCGCTGTGGGGGCTGCAGCATTGGCAGAGGTGCCAATGGTTTGTTGCCTTGCACGAGACATTAAACCAAGGGCCTGACCTGTCTCTTCAGGTGGATGTTAAGGATCCCATGGCACGGCTCAGGTGTCCTGGCCACCAAATAAAATTGGTCACTCGCATCGTGGCTGTTTATGGGGAATTGTGCAAATTGGCTGCCGTATCCGTGAAAAAAATATAGGCGGTAAAATCCAGTGAAGCGCCTTGAGCCCCCAATGCTCTTCAAGCCCTTGGGCTGACACACCATCCTGATGTGAAAGGTGTTCTATCAAGTGCAACAAGAATAACAACTTAAACTTGTGTAGCTGTTTTATGTCAAGAAGACGGCCGAAGGCCTGGACAGTCAGGGATTAGGTACAAGTGCAAGGATTATTATAGGTTTATTTTTTTTATCGCTATGAGAAACTGCAAGATAAAGCAAAGGGTATTCAGTCTCCAAAACAGATCTACAGGACACTAAACAAGATTGTACTTCTTTAACCAGTGGGGACAGGGTTACCGGGAGGGGTGGCAAAATATGTCCGTGACACTCCCAAATGCAAGGCCTTTCCGATGAGGTATAAATCACGTCTATGTCAATCGGTTATTGAGATCTTGGCTGACACACAGACACACATTGTTGTTTTATTAGTATAGAAGATAGAAAAAGATAGATAATGTCACTCAATCCATGGCCTTTTGTGGGACGCTGCTGTGCGCAATTGGCTGTCGCGTTTCGCCCACAAAATACACAGTCAATTCACTTCACAGTATCTTCTGTGAAGCGCTTTGTGACGTCTCGAAGACATGATAAGGTACTAAAACAAATGCAAGGATTATTATATAAAATAAATCATTTTTCCTGTTTTTTCTTACAGAACTTTGTGTCCTCAACATCTCTTGTTTTGGGAATGGAGGAGGAGAGAGAGGAGGAGAGAAGTGACTGCCACTCGCAAAAAATTGGATGATTGGAGCCAGAAGGAAGACCAAAGGAGGTAAGTCAAAGTGTTGAGAAGTTTATCTTTTTATTTTTATACATATATCTATACAAAAAATAAGAGAAATTAGTTACAGAAAAGATTGGTTTGATTCGGGTGGGTACAGAGGACAGAGAGAACGGGACAGACCGCAGCACGAAAGGCGGAATTATTTTGGTTCCGTTGAGCATTTCTGGTCATAGCCTCAAGTCAACAGGAGAATATTAAAACTGTGCCTGACTATCACTGCTGTAATATATTAAAAGATATTTACCGCTGCAGTGTTTTGTGTTTGCTATACTTTAGTCCCGTAGCGAAATGGTTAGCGCGTTCGCCTTGGACGTGAGATGACCCGGGTTCAATTCCCAAGCGGGGCAAAACTTTAGGCAAGTGTCTTTACTCCGCCCTGCCTCGGTTTACCAAGCAGTAAGTAGCAAGCTGGTTGTTAATCAATTGGCGGATCGCTTTCCAGGGCTAATAATCCCTCCAAAAAAAATACACAATTGATTGTTTGTGGGACGTGAAAGGCGCTCTATAAATATAATTTTGTTGTTGTTGTTGGGACGCTGCCGTGCGCAATTGGCTGCCGAGTTTCGCCCACAAAACACAGTCAATCTACTTTGCAGTATTCTATGAAGCGGTTTGAGATGTCTCAACAACGTGATAAGGCGCTATAGCAAATGCAACGATTGTTATTATTGATGAAGGATATGGAGGAAACGTATTTAAAGTCCAATGAGGCGCTTTGAGATGTTTTCATGCCGTGGTGCTGTTGTCAAATCCAAAGATTATTATGATTAATGTTACATGAGACAGAGCTAATTCTTTCCATGGAGACAAGTGGGCCTTTGCTCTTTTGAAACCTAAAATTAAGTTCAAAACAGCCAGTAGATCGCATCATCTGATTCAGCCTTGGGCTCTCTCTCTTTCTCTCTCTCTGATATTATCAGGACAGGAAGCAAAGAAGTCACAAGATGCACACAAACACGCACTGTCATCAGAAAATAAAATCCGTGAGACCGTCTCCCAGATCAGTCACGTCTGGTCTGTTCAAGAATAGCAACAACTTGCATTAATCTTGCGCCCTTCAATCGCTGTAGCGTCTCGGAACGCTTTTCAAAGGCCGTCTCCTTTGATCTTAAACTCATCATCCCTCGCCAGAACTAGACAGGGAACAGATAATAACATGATACAACACTGAGCAACAATAAAATCCCAAAAACAGACACGCTCATCAGAGAAACGCAGCCATTAATCCACCACACTTCTCCATTAACTGTACTGTACTGCCAGCATCAGCAATTGTGGTGAGTTCAATTATTTTTGTGTGTGTGTCCCTGGATTTGGTTTACAAAATATAGTCACCCTGTTATAAGTGGAAGTGTAAGGAGCTTCTGTGAAATTCAACCCAAATTCCTGCCAAGGCAGCCAGACACAGCAAAACGGTACAGCTTTGTGATGATGGCAGGTTTTTGAAAGCCAAGTCCACTGAACACAGCGTACGATTTCTCAACAGATTTCAGGAAAAAGCCCTTCACTACTTGGCTGAGCTTCTAGCAGGTTAGTAATGCAACGCTTGCAACGCAATTACATCTCATCACACCCAGGTGCCACACAACCATTGGCGCCCGGCGGTGGGCGTGGGGAGATGGTGTGGGCGGTGGGGGCGGGGGGGCGAGTGGACCTGAAGGGGGTGGAGAGGTGAAAGATGACTGAAAGTGCGGCTGATCACGGTGATGGGTTTCGACGTATGTCAGTCCCCTGGCTGATTGATCACGGTGATGGGTTTCCGCGTGTGTCAGACACCCAACTGATTACTGCGATGTGTTTCCATGTGTCAGATCACGGTGATGAGTTTCTGCGCGTGTCAGACACTGGCTGATCACACCCGAAAAAAGTATTTGATTCAGCTTAAGTAATACGCCAATTCCTCAGCACGTTACTGTAGTAATAATAATAATAATCCTTGCTTTTGATATAGTGCCTTAAACACGTCTTTGAGACGCTTCACAGAATATGCTGTAAAGTGAATTGACTGTATATTTTGTGGGCGAAACGCAGCAGCCAATTGCGCACAGCAGCGTCCCACAAACAGTCGTGGATTGAGTGACCACATTATTATTTTTTTAAGGGATTATTCCCCCTGGAAAAGCGATCCGCCAGTCGACTAACAACCGGGTTCCTACTTACTGCGAGGTAAACAGAGGCGCAATGACAAGTTATGTGCTTTTAGCTGGTTAAACCCCAGCTGTTACTCCTTCCCCCCCCCCATCACCCAAACACACCGGTTAAGTAACATCCTCTCGCCCACCCCCGAAAAACAAAGTTACGATTTGAATAAACCTGAGACTGCAAAATAAATGGATCTCAAGCAGCTGATTTTAATTAAGTTTATTACGTGCCACAAGATTCTTTGGCAGAGAGTAAATTATAAAAGTAGATTAAGATACTGCGTCACAGATCGCTCTGAACACGCAGTGTATGTATGCGTGTGCATTTTCCATACACAATCGGTTACGTTGAAAGGGGTTTGAGACAGTCAGTGCAACCCAAAGAGGAAAATGCCTTTTACTGTCCCTCCCTCCCTTTCCCTTTACCTCCCTCTCTCCCCCCACCCACACACCCCCCCACCACCTCTCTCCCTTTTTCTTGTAGGCTGGAATACAACTAGTGTTTCTCACCCAGAGCCTAATCTTACGTCACAATCTTTCAAGAGATAAGCCCTCTCAGGTTTTTTTTCCGGACTGATACAGTAATCCAGCAGTGTATATAAGGCTGGTTCAGCAAACTGGGGATCTGCAGAATCAGTGTAGCACTGAACGCAGGATAGTGCGGAGAGAGAGACAGACAAACAGACATAGAGAAAGAGACAGACAGAGAGACACAGAGAGCGAGAGAAGGCAATAAGAATAAGCAACAACCCTGAAGTCAGAGGAAGTCAGACCCTCGGCTTGCGAAACCAGGTGTAAAAGTGGAGCCGGCGAACAAGGATAGAGGAACTTTTCCCAACCAAGAGAAGGACTTTAAAACAAGTTATGCCGGGCTGGAGGGACTCAGTTTCAGTTTGCGCTCAGTTCTGTCCAGAAAGCTGCGGGCATTACGTTCCGAGGATGAAACGGGAGTAGATGAAAGCGAGGTTGGGGTAGGGCGATAAAGAGGAGAAAGAAAAGAACTCGATTTTTTCTTTTTTTTAAAAAAAAATTTTCTTCTTCCGTCTCTCTCTCTCTCTGTCTCCGAGAGGAAGGAGCGTCTGAGAGAGAGGGGGAGAGGGGGGGGGAGTGCGAGTTAGGGCACGCCATGGGGCTGCTCAGTATGGACCTGATCATGAAGCTGCAGATCCTCCCGGGATTTTTCTCCAACTGCCTGTTCCTGGCCGCGTATGACTCGTTCGTGCTCCTCAGGCAGGCGGTCTCGCTGCTGAGCTGCTCGGGCCTGGGGCCGGACCCCCAGCACCGGATGCTGACGGCCGAGGGCATGCAGGTGGTGTGGCAGAGCTTCCTGCTGGACGCCCTGAAGCAGGTCAAGGTGGGCCTCGAGGCGCCCAACTCCGCGGTTGCCCGGCTGGACGGGGGGGCCCCCTGCCGCCTCTTGGACTTTGCCAGCCGGGACCGTCCCCTGGTGGTCAACTTCGGCTCGGCCACTTGACCGCCGTTCGTCAGCCGGCTGCCGGCTTTCCGCCAGATGGTGGAGCGATACGCGGAGGTGGCCGACTTCCTGCTGGTGTACGTGGACGAGGCCCACCCGTCCGACGGCTGGGCCCTCAGGTCCCGCTTCCAGCTGCGGAGGCACAGGAGCCAGGAGGAGCGGTGCTCGGCCGCCGGGCTGCTGGCCAGGGAGTTCGGGCTGCCCGCGGCCTGCGGGGTGGTGGCCGACCTCATGGACAACAACGCCAACCGGGCCTACGGCGTGGCGTTCGAGCGGCTGTGCGTGGTGCAGAGCCAGAAGATCGCCTACCTGGGCGGCAAGGGACCCTTCTTCTACAACCTGAACGGGGTGAGGGAGTGGCTGGAGAGGCACAGCGGTCAGAGGTGGGGCTGAGCGTGCGCGAGAAGGGGGGAGGTGGCGCCAAAGGCGGAGGCGCGGAGAGGGACGCCGGGCGGCGGGGGAGGGGGAGATTCCCCTCTCGCCCCCGACGTGGCCCCAGAGACGGTTCCCAAAAGAACGACGCAATTACCCTCTTCCACCCCCACTCGCCCCTCGCCCTTCACAGACACTGAAGGCCACGCCACGCGCGGCACTGCCCCACACCTTACGGACGCACTGCGAGCGCAAGTTGCCGCTGTCGTTGGATTCGCAGGACTTTTCTCTGGTGACGGACGTGATGGACCTATAGGCCGACAAATGGAGTTTGATTTTTTGTTTACGCACACGCATCTATTCATCTATTTTTTTATAATTTATTACGCTAAAACAATTGGACGGCTATGTGAGCGCGATTGGATACTTGCCTGGAGTCGTGTGCGCGTGCGTGCGTCTGTGTGTGCTTCTGTGCATGTGTGTGTGTGTGTGTGCGCGCGTGTGTGTGCGTGTCTACAGGGGAGAGGGGTGGGGGCACGGAGGGTATTTTCTCTTATCTTGTTTCGAGTGTGCTTGTAAGTTATTTGAGTTCCTGGGGAGCGAAGGGTGGGGTGGGGTGGGGGTGTGTGGTGTTAGGAGAGAGGGGAGGGGATTGGGTGGTGGGGGAAGCTTCTATCTAATATAGTGGGACGTGGGGGGGGTGGGGGAATCGACGGACGTACAGTGAGGTGAGGGCAGGGGGCAAGCGCCTCCATGAAAAAAACTGACGAAAGAGTTTGCTTGAGCTCAGTCAGTGTTTGGAAGCAAAGCCGGGCGCTTGCTCTCAACCCCTCCTCTCCTCCTCCTCCTCCTCCTCCTCTTCTTCATCCTCCTCCTCGCTTACAGAGGTCTTAACAGCTCAACGATCGTTCCTGAGTGGTGTTCACGCGCTACCGTGTTCAAATAAACCCGTTCAAATAAACGCTACACCTGCACATCTTCTGCCTCAAGGCTTATGTGTCTCTTTTTTTTCCCTCTCTCTCTTTCAAAGAAAGTTTCTGCCTGAAAGGCGCTTTTATTTCTGTATCTCATGGGAATGGGGAAGGCGTTCAGTTTGGGAGGGAGGTTGGCCAAAAAATGCACAGTCACCGCACTTTACAGCGACATCACCTCAAGTGCTTTTTGTGGATGATGTGATAAAGCGCTGTATTGAGTGCGATTGTTATTGGGTTTTTTTTTTAGAAACGTAGCAGCATTTAAAAGCGAGAGGTGTTTGATGAGGAAAGAGCAGGGGATAGAAATAGAAAAGAGAGCTCCAGTGGGATGGAGGGCAAACGAGCATGAAAGAGATGGCCGAAAGTGGGGTCAAAGAGGAAAGTCTTGAGGTGGTATCTTTTACATTATAAAAGTGATAAAAGTTTGCTTATTAAGCACAAATTGAAGAATGTTACACAGTCCAAAAAAGGGTCTCATACACACACACACACACACACACAAGCTGAAACTGGGTGGAAATTTCAGTGGAGGGGGGAGGTTGTAAAAAGAAAGCAGAGAAAAGTCACTCAGGTCATTTCATAAGAGCACTGGTTCCCCATGTGAGGTAATCGGAATCAATAGGAACATTTGTCTGTGTTTGTTGAAGGATAAAGCTACTCGGTGACCCAGACATTTTCGCCTAGGTCACATCATTAGTTTAGTTAACTTTGGGGAAATAAAATGCATGCGAGCCAAAAACACACCCCTCCCTCCCACTGTTGAGACGCCTCAAAGCGCTTCACAGAATATCAGCTGATTGGCTCGCGCTAGCACCTCCGCACCTCGGGCGTTGGCAACATCAGCCTCCACGGCTGCACACTCAACCTCATTAAACCAGTCAGGAGCCTGGGTGTCTTGTTTGATCCTAAACTGTCCTTTCTCCCCCACGTACGCGCCATGACTGGCACTGCCCTCCATCACCTCCGCAACATTGTCAGCTTCCGCCACTGCCTCACCCCTCAGGCTGCCCAAACCCTCACCCACACATTCGTCACCTCAAGGCTCAATTTCGGGAACTCCCTCCTCATCGGCCTTCCCAACTCTTCCCTTCACAAACTGCAGATCATCCAAAACTCTGCAGCTCATGTACTCTCGCGCACCAGGCTCCGTGATCCCATCACTCCCACCCTCGCCCGATGCCACTGGCTCCCCATCCGCCAGAGGATCGAGTTCAACATCCTCGTCCTCACCTTTAAGGCCATCCATGGCCTCGCCCCCTCCTCCCTCTCTGACCTGCTGACTCCCTACCAACCCGCCCGCTCCCTCCGTTCGGCGGGCTCCCGGCTACTCCATGTCTACCATCGGTGGCCGGGCTTTCAGCCTCTCTGCCCCCACACTCTGGAACTCCATTCCACAGTCCCTTTTCCTCGCTTCCTCCCTTGCCTCCTTCAAGGCCGATCTCAAGACCCTCCTCTTCAATCATGCCTTCGGTCGCCCTCCTACCTCTCTGCCTTCCCTCACCCCTTCCCCATGCTCAGGTCCTGACCCCTGACTGTCCAGCGCCTTGGTAAGTCCTCCCGACGTGAAAGGCAACGTATAAATGAAATTTTATTGTTGTTGCCGGGAATTGAACCCGGGTCCTCTCATCTGAGAGACAATTGCTCTCACCACTAGGCTACAGGACTCCAAATCTAGTACCGGGGTAAATTACCCCCCCCCCCCCCGCCGCCATATTACTCGTTGAATAAAATAGCTGTGAGCAGACTTATTGTACAGCAAATGTAACTAACCCACATTGAGTCAGCGAATCCAGGTCACTGGGAACCCAGTGACCACTGTGTGTCATAGATGATTCTGCTTCCACCACTGGATTTGGTGGGCTTTTCCATGTCTTGATAATCCTCAGTGGGTCTGTGTGTGTGTGTGTGTGTGTGTGTGGATGGGTGGATAGGGTGATGAGGAAGGTCTGTGTGTGGTGGTGGGCAGAGCTGAGGAGGTTGTGTGTCTGTGTGGGGCGTGGGGAGGGGAAGATGACTGAAAGCGAGCTCCATCTCTCCATACACCCAAGCAAACCCCTCAACATTTTGAAGCCTGTTGTCACGTGCTCTCAATCTTCTCTGTTACCGTGAAAACTGCCCAAGTTTCTCTTGCCTCTCTTTATAAGTCTTCACTGCACCCTCCCCCAAAATTCACGTCCACCCCTACAGCAGGTTAACAGTGAAACAATGGTGATCTGTCAGTTTGCGCCTGATAAAAGGGAGATCGAGCATCCAATTCCCAGGGTATTATTATGTCCACGCTAATTATTTTATTCTCACTATAAGCTGTAATTAGCTTGCTGATCAGGCAAACAAATAGAGACGCACACCCTCACGCATTCCATTCAACAGATACATGGAGTCCTGTAGTTTGGTGGTTAGAGCACTCGTCTCGCAAGTGGGAGGACATGAGTTCGATTCCCAGGCAGGTCGACATGTTGGGCAAGTTTCCTTCCTCCACACAGCTCTGTTTACCTAACAGTAAGTAGGAACCCGGTTATTAGTCAATTGACGCATCGCTTTTCTGGGGATAACAATTCCTTCAAAAAAGAAATAATAATAATAATAATTTGGTCACTCAATCCACGACTGTTTGTGGGGACGCTATTGTGTGCCATTGGCTGCCGCGTTTCGCCCACAAAATATACAGTCAATTCACTTTACAGCGTATTCTGTGAAGCGCTTTGAGACGTCTCAAAGACGTGAAAAGGATAAATTGTAGAGTTAAATTGATGTTTTGTACATTGTGTTCTTTGTTCGTTCGCTCAGTGACACCGCGCCTTCCTGTGACTGCAGGTTTCTCCCCATTCAGCTCCCGTGAACCCTGCAAACCAAAGCCCTGAAGGGTAGGATGGTCTGAGCTGATCAAGCAGCGGGAAAGCTTGCCAGGCAGTGATCCTATTGAGAAGCTATGCGGTTGAACTCCATCACACACGCACACTCCCCCCCCCCAAGCCTTGGTTCTTGCCAACGAGTGCCAAATACTCTCCAGAATTAGGTAAGCAAAGGAGAGAGAGAGAGAGACAGTGCACTTTCCATTCCAATCACAGGGAAATTTCCACGTGTGGGTAACATGCACAGAACACTGGTCTGGTTCAGGAGACTCTTAAGCACGGCGATGGGTTTCCGCGTGTGTCTGACCGAAGAACAAACCCGATGGAGGAACCCCATTGTAAATGAAGCAGCGCAGATTATTTTAGAGCAGTGAAATGTGCTTCAAAGGGTTGAAAGGGTCTGGGTTTGGCTTCAGTCACAAAACGCCTCTCAGTGAACACACGGGCGCTCTCTCTGACTCTCTGTGAAAACTGGTCTGCGCAGCGCCACCTGGTGCTGAAGTGGGGCAGGTGACACCTGTTCCAGGTGCGACTCGAGATCGGGGAATGGAAGGTCACAGTTGCCCGGAGGTGGAGTGGCTGTAGGATATCGCTCGAAGAAGTTGAATAGCAATTAAGAAGGAGCCAACAAAATAGAAGTAGGAAGCAGAAAAGGTTCCTCATCACACCAGTCCTGGCCGGGCTCCACTGGCTCCCAATTACCGACTTCAAGAACCTCATTTCTGAACCACTTCATGTCCCCGCATTTCCTTACCGCTCTTGTCTTGCTTACCCCCCCCCCCCCCCCCCCCCCCCCCGCTTCACTGCACTTGGCTTTCACGAGCGAGTCTAAATATGTTTTTATACCGATAAATATATTTATTAAATGAGAATAAAGGAGTTACTTAACACACCAGTGATGTGGATTGAGAATCATTACAGTTACTTTTCCCAACTGGGAACAATCATGTTTTGGCTGCTAAGTGATCTGAATATTTATCACCCTCCTCTTACCCCTCTGCTCCTCCACACACAGACACTGGTAAATGTGGATTCAGCGTAGAAGAGGGTTGGCTGATTCACTGCTGTGCGCAATTGGCTGCCGTGTTTCCCCCACAAAATATACAGTCAATTCACTTTACAGTATATTCTGTGAAGCACTTTGAAACGTCTCGAAGTCGTGATAAGTCGGTGTATCAAATGCAAGGAGCATCGTAGAGGGAAACAAATCTTAAATTTAGTCTGAGTTTCTGCTGCTCTTGAAAGGAAGCTGACTTCCTATTTTAAGGCAAAACGTCTGAGACGAGGCTAAGACGACGTAAGGTTATTGGGCCCCAGGGCTTTTGGGCGAGACTGAGCAGTTGCTCAGAACAAGGCCATGTGTTTGGAAACGGTGAGAGCAGCACTTCGCAGTCAATCCCCTTGGGTGTCTGAGTGGAGCTGGGATCTGAGCATCCTGTGGCTGAGTGGCTTTTGCTGCTTAATTTGCTGCTGCATTGTCGCGGAGCAGAGCGAGCGCTTTGCTGAGGAGTTAACAAGCCAGCTGCCCTGCCCATCGCTCCAATAACAGCATAGGCCATACAGTGAATGAGGGCATTGAGCTTGACAATGTTCCTCTCTCTCTCCCGCTCTCTCGCCCTCTATCTATATATATCACGAGCCGTACCCGTTGCAGCTTCGCTTGCA